TGTTCAAGGCAAGTCATTTAATCATTCTGCTCTCTCTTGGCCCTGGCTTTTCTTAATAACTTTGTGGTGAAATATACCTATTTTAACTGCTGTATTCTGTTAACTTTATTTTCAATTTTCCTTCATTTGAAGTTATTTTATAGCCCTCTTTTGTTTTAGTGGTCTTGGGAATTCAATCCAGGGCTCACACATGCAAGGCAGGTGCTCTGCCACAGAGCTGTATGTCTCTGGCCCCTTTTTAAAATCTTATTTTTTATTGGGATGATATTGGTTTACATGAGTGTAAATGTCTTTGTGTGTTTGGAGTATACCATTACCACACCATGGCCGCCATCAAAGTCTATATTCCTCCATCATAATCTTTTGGGCCCTTTCAGTTCATGCCCTTGCCTTCATCTTGGTAATCTCACTTCATAAGAGCTTTTTATTTTTTTTAATTGGGCAGTGACTATTTCCTTGCTTTGTTTGTGTACCACATGAATGAGAATACTGGATATTTGTCTTTCACCTTTTGATTATTCTGCATGACCTTCTCTAGTTCCATCTGTGTTGTTGCAGAAGATAATTTCTTATATAGAGTGATATTTCACTGTGTATATATGTGTGGGTGTAGGTGGGTGGGTGGGTGTGGGTGATTGTTACTGTTGGAGAGTGCTGCAGTGAGGGGTTCCTGGGAAAGTAGTGCAGGGGTCAGCCGAGTTCAGTTCTTGAAAAACTTCCTTGCCCCCATGGAAACACACACTCTTGTCAAGTAAGTCCAGCCCCTGTGGCCTGGGAACCAGCAATGTCCAGTCCAGCATGGAACTGCCCTCCTTGGCTGGCTGAGCCCCCTACCTCATTCCTACCACCCCCCCACCCCCTCAAAAAAAGAGAGAAATTGCTGCAGTGAATATGGATTCCAGTGAATGGAGTTGTTGGGTTATATAGGAGTTCCATTTTTAAATTTTCGATAAATCTTCTTGCTGTTTTTCATAGAAGACGAACTAGTTTACATTCCTACCCACAGTCAGTGAGGGCTCCTTCACACCTACTGTGAAGCTGCAACACTTGTTTCTGGCCTTTTCTATGTGTGCCATTCTCTTTGGTGTAGGTGATTTCTTACTGTTGTTGATTTGCATTCCCTAATGATGTGTGATGAGCATTTTTCATACACTCTATTGTAAATATTCTTTGTTGAAATGTCAACTCTTCTTTACCTTTGATTTTTTTTGTTTCTATAACTTGTATATTAACCCTTTATCAGATAACATTGAGTTTTTCCCCCATTTTGTAGAGTATCTTTTTTAGTGATAGTTTCCTTCGAAGCTCAGAAATCTTTTAGTTTGATGGAATCCCAATTGCTTTTTTTTTGGTTTAATTTTTCTTGCTAGTGGGACTGCATCATTGACCTCATTTCTGAAGTCAGTATCATGGAAGTTTTGCCTATGTTTCCTTCAGTGTGTTTTATTAACACACTATATTTCTTGTATTCCTATTTTGTTTTCTCTTTTCTTATTTACTGTTTGTATTTTTTCCTTTGGTTTCCCTTTTTGGTGGACATGTCTGATTATCTAAATTAAATGTAACAATTTGCGTAGTCAAAAATCACAATATAAAAGTTTGCTCTGCCTCTTTTTAGGGGGTGGGAGAGAAGGGTTTGGGCCACACCCAGTCAAGAACTATTCCTGACTGCTCAGGAGTGACCTTGGCCATGTTTGGGGGAATTCTATTCAGTACTAGGATTCCAGACAGGATCAGCTGAGGCAAATGCTTTAACTCCTATACTCTGCCCTCCATTTGCCTTGATTATTTAGTTTTTGATTTTTCTTTCTAAATCAATTTTGCTTATACTTATATGGTGAGGTTGTGGTTTGGTTCTTTTCTTTTTTCTTTCTTTTTTTTTCTTTTTGGGTCATACCTAGCAATGCTCAGGGGTCACTCCTGGCTCTGCACTCAGGAATTACTCCTGGCAGTGCTCCAGCCCCCTTTTCTTTTCTCTTCCTCTTCCTCTTCCTCTTCCTCCTCCTCCTCCTCCTCCTCTTCTTCTTCTTCTTCTTCTTCTTCTTCTTCTTCTTCTTCTTCTTCTTCTTCTTCCTCCTCCTCCTCCTCCTCCTCCTCCTCCTCCTCCTCCTTTTTTTTTTTTTTTTTTTGTGCGGGTAAGGTTTGAGGTTATTCCAGTGATGCTCAGGGCTACTTCTGACCCTGTGCCTGGGTGTGTGGGAGATCATATGCAGTGCCAGGAATTAAACCTGGTGTTGGCTATGTGCAAGGCAAGAACCTTAATGTTGTGCTATCTCTGGTCTCTGAATTCAGTTTTTTCTTAGTTTTCATTTTTTTGGACCACACCTGGTGGTGCTTAGGGATTTCTCATGGCTCTGCACTCAGGAATTGCTCAGGGATCATATGGAATGCATGGAATTAAACATGGGTGGGCCACATACAAGGCCAGCACCTTACCTGCTTACTCTCTCTCCAGCCCTTCTTAATAAAAGTGTTATTTCATGGAGTCAACCTCCTGGTACTTATATCCTCTATTCTTGGGTGTTAGTCTCCTATTTTGTTACTTTCTGTTCCCCAAATGAATGCAATCTTTCTGTGTTTGTCCCTCTCTTTCTGACTCATTTTGCTTAGCATGATACTTTCCATGTAGTACCACTTGTATGTAAATTTCATGACTTTGTCTTTTCTAACATCTACATAGTACTCCATTGTGTAGATGTACCAAAGTTTCTGTAACCAGTCATCTGTTCTCGGGCACTTAGGTTTTTTCCAGATTTTGGCTATTTTGAAAAGTGCAGCAATGAACATAGAAGTGCAGATGTCATTTCGACTGTACTTTTTTGCTTCTCCAGGATATATTCCCAGGAGTGGTATTGCTGGGTCAAATGGGAGCTCAATTTTTAATTTTTTGAGAATTGTCCATACTGTTTTCCAAAAGGACTGAACCAGTCGGCATTCCCACCAGCAGTGAAGGAGGGTCCCTTTCTTGCCACATACATGCCAACACCGGTTGCATTTGTTCTTTTGGATGTGGACAGTCTCTGTGGTGTGAGATGATATCTCATCGTTGTTTTGATCTTCATCTCCCTGATGATTAGTGATATAGAGCATTTTCTCATGTGCCTTTTTGCCATTCGGATTTCTTCTTTGAGAAAGTTTCTGTTCATTTAGTCTCCCCATTTTTTGATGGGGTTGGATGTTTTCTTCTTGTGGAGTTCAACCAGTACTTTGTATATCCTTGATATCAACCCCGTGTCGGATGGTTTGGAGGCCAGCTGCACATGCTAGGGGAAAAGGCAGCTCAGACAGAGAAGGGAGCATCAAATAAAGGGTGTTGGGAGGATCCTCCCAGGATGGGAGATGCATGCTGAAAGTAGACTGTAGACCGAACATGATTGCCACCCAATGCCTCTTGCGAACCACAGCACCCAAAAGGAGAGAGAGAACAAAAGGGAATGCCCTGCCACAGAGGTGGGATGGGATGCAGGGGGATAGAGGGGTGGGAGGGATACTGGGATCATTGATGGTGCGGAATGGGCACTGGTGGAGGGATGGGTACTTGATCATTGTATAACTGAAACCCAAACACAAAAACTTGTAAGTCCACAGCTGTACCTCATGGTGTTTCACTAATAAAAATTAAAAAATAAAATAAAATGAAAACTTTAAAAAAGAAGTGTTATTTTTTGCTTTGTTTTTTATGTTTGGGCCACACCCACTGGTGCTCAGAGTGTATCCTGGCACTGTGCTCAGGGATCAATCCAGGTGGGACTCGGAACCATTTGGTGTACTGGGGATTGAACACAGGTTTGCCATTTGCAAGGCAAGTGTCCCGCTATACTACCTTTTTTTTTTTTTTCCTTTTTGGGTCACACTCGGCAATGCACAGGGGTTACTCCTGGCTCTGCACTCAGGAATTGCCCCTGGCGGTGCTCAGGGGACCATATGGGATGCTGGGAATCTAACCTGGGTTGGCCAGGTGCAAGGCAGATGCCCTATCTGCTGTGCTATTGCTTCAGCTCCCTGTACTATCTTTCTGGCTCCAATTAATGTCTTTTGTGATTGGCATGATTTCCTTTTGGATAGTCTGAGAAAATAATATTGGATTCAGAATGTTCAGTTAAGAATTTAGAGGTGAGGGCTGGAGTGATAGCACAGCGGGTAGGGTGTTTGCCTTGCATGCGGCCGACCTGGGTTCGATCCCCGGCATCCCATATGGTCCCCCAAGCACCACCAGGAGTAATTCCTGAGTGCAAAGCCAGGAGTAACCCTGAGCATTGCTGGGTGTGACCCAAAAAAGAAAAAAATAAAATAAATTGGCTTCTAAAAAAAAAAGAATTTAGATGTGAGGGGGCCAGAGAGATAGTAGAGCAGGTAAGGTATGTATGTGCCTTGTACACACCAATCCGATTTGATTCCTCACTCTGCATTTGATCCCTCAAGCCCACAAGGAGCAAGCTCTGAGCTCATCTGAGTGTCACCCAACTTGTACCCACCTCCCCCGCCCCCCTTCCCACCTTAAAGGACAGACTTTCTTGAATATTAGTAGTAGTGGATTGTAGGTTGTTTCCAGCTTATTCTTTGGTGCAGCAGCATTTCTTTCCCTTTTTTCTTCCTTTGGTGGTTTTTGAACCATACCTGATGGTGCTCGGGTTACTACTGGCTCTGAACTCAGGAATCACTCCAGGGCAAAACATCCTACCTCTGCAGCAGCATTTCTTACAAGTTAGCTGTTACAAATGCAAATTACTTCTCTACCTAAACCTACTAATTAAATACTGGGAGTGCAGCCCAACAGTCTCTAAGACACCTTCAGGTGATTCTGATGCTGGAGGCAAGTTTTTAAAACCCTACTGTCAGATAATATAGACCTCTTTATTTTGCTTAATTGACTTATGAAAAGAAATGCTCTCTGTGTTTGCAAATGTAGATTTTGTTTCCTGAGTGAAAGTAATGGGTAATCTGGGAGTAATTTAAGGAGCCTGTAGGAAATTTCATCTTGACATTTGCTTTTCTTTTAGGAGGCAAAACCTTCAACTGAGGACTTGGGGGATAAGAAGGAAGGAGAATACATAAAGCTGAAAGTTATTGGACAGGTGAGTTTCATTATTTTCCTCCATTGAATCTCCTTGAATGTGTGAACAATTTCTGAAATAGGAAAAGTCAAGGAAGGCAAATTTTCAAGAAAATGGCATTTCCATGTACTTTTGTATATCCGGGGAAACAAAATACTAATAACTTACAAAAAACTTACTCCCTTGGGCAGATTTAGACCATTGTAATTTCTTCAAATAAAGCCTTTTTCTTGATTAGCATGCTTCAGTGGCAAGTATAAGAATACAGCAGAGTGGTAAGGCCTTTAACTTTTTAATTTTTAATTTTCCTGATTCTTTTCTCTTTCCTACACCTCATTTCTCTAGACAGACCTTGACCTGTAACTTGTTGACCCTTATTGAGATGTTAGCCCAGTTTTCCTTAAATGTGCCACCCCCACCCCCAAATATCCAGGGGGCAGTGGTCGTCCAAGGTGCAATGGGTGGTTTTTGGTTTTTTTTTTTTCACTTAAGGAAGGTAGATTTCCAGGAGGACACTTAGTAATTGCTTTCTGAAAAGGTAGGCCAAATAAGTTTGGGAACCATTATGTGAGCTAATAATTAAGGTTAGCTGAAGATTATTGGAGGAATAAATTATATTATTTTAAGGATAAAATACTGAAGTGGACTCTCATTATTAAAGTTCCTTTAATGGGACCTGAGCAATAGTGTAGCAGGTAGGGGCATTTGCCTTGCTCACGGCCAACCCGAGTTTGATCCCTGGCATCCCATATAGTGCCCCAAGCATTGCTAGGAGTAATTCCTGAGTGCAGAGCCAGGAGTAACCCCTGAGCATTGCAAAAAGAAAAAAGAGAGAGAGAGAGAGAGAGAGAGAGAGAGAGAGAGAGAGATTGATTTCCTTTATCGTTTCCTAAACCCAAAGTAATTCAGTCCTTCAATTTTGTGCCATTGTGAGATGCAATTTTTTTTTTCTTTTTGGGTCACACCCAGCAATGCTCAGGGGTTATTCCTGGCTCCACACTCAGGAATCACTCCTGGCGGTGCTCGGGGCACCATATGGGATGCCGGGGATCAAACCCGGGTCAGCCGCGTGCAAGGCAAACGCCCTACCCACTGTGCTATTGCTCCGGCCCTTTTTCTTAAACATTTTATTTGGAGGTTTTCTTGGAAGGGGAAGGAAGGAGACACAGTGAGAGAGCAGCGCTCTCAAGAGAGAACACAAGCTTCTCTAAAGGTGGAGAGAGCCCCTACACACAACCCAGTGTGAAAGTACACAGCTCCAGGGAAGATTTGGGTGACACATGTGCTTGGGGGCCACATGTGCTCGGCCTCATGGGTATAAGCAGCACAAAGGCTCAGGCAGCATCTGCATGCTGAGATGCAAGATTTTGCTGGTTATTTTGAAAATTTTTAATAAAGAGATCATTTAAATACCATAAAATTCACTGTTTAAATGTGTCTAATGCAGTGCATTTGGTTCTGAAACATCCTTATCCTCTTAGAAAGTTTCACTGTATTTATTAGATAACTCAGTATCCTCCTCTCCTCAGCCTTTCTCCAACTACTAAAGTAAAAACATTGTCTCTATCTGTCCTTAGGGCTTTTTCAATGTTCATACATTGTAATCATGTGGCATGTGATCTTTTGTGTATGGCTTTTTTCATTTCACAAAGATTTCAAGGTCATTTAATTTGCAGCATACAACAATGTGTGTGTGTGTGTGTGTGTGTGTGTGTGTGTTAGGGTAGAGGGGAGGACACTGGCTATGCTGTGTTTACTCTTGGATCTGTGCTCAGAGATCATTACTGGCAGTGTTTTGGGGACTGTATGTGGTGCCAGGGTCAATTGCATGCATGGCAAGCTCCTTCTCTGCTGTACTAGCTCTTCTGCTCTTTTTTTGGTGCTAGAGAATCTTATCTATGGCCTGATACATGTGAGGCAAGCATTTTACCTTTGAGCTTCATCTCTGGCCCTTCAATATTTCATTTCTTTCTTTTTTTTTTTCTAGTTTTTCCTACATCCACCTGTGCTCAGGGCTTTGTCCTAGCTGTGTACTCAGCGATTGAATCAGGGTTGCCTCATGGAAGACACGTACCTTACCCACTGCATTACTTCTCTGGTCCCCAATATTTTATTTATGTGACTTACCATTTCGTAGTATAAATATATCACATTGATTCCTAAGCTAATGGGCATTTGGGTTGTGCCCTCATTTTGACTTTCTTTGTTTTGTTTTTGGGCCACACCGGGCAATGCTCAGGGATTACTTCTGGCTCTGTGCTCAGTATTCATTCCTGGCAGTACTTGGGGAACCATATAGGATGCCTGAGATTGAACCCTGGTCAGTTGCATGCAAGGCAAGTGGTTAACCCGCCTATACTATCTCTCTCCAGCCCTTATTTTGACTCTTGCAAATGAGTGTTGCTATAAAAATTTATATACAGCTTTATTGAAATGAAAACGATTTTATTTATGGTTTTGGGTCACACCCAGTGGTGTATGGGCTTCTGCTAGGGCCTTGGGAGACCCTGTGTGATATTGGGGATCAAGTCCTGGGTTGACTGAGTGAAAAGCAAGCACCTGCTTGCTCTGCTATTTCTCTGGCCCAGAAAAAAAATTGTAAATTCTTTCTTTCCCTTTGCTGTTCTTGATGTTGCAATGTTAGTTAGCAAACATGCCTGGTTGTGGTGCTCGAACATTCTTTTTTTAGCTGTGATGCTTATGGGGTGGTGGTTTGCATATCAGGTTGCAGTGTTTGCACATGTGCTCACCGGGATCACACTCTTAGTTGAGGCACACAAATGATGGTTTTGGTGCCTGCTATGCTTGATTGAATGCTTAATTTTTAAACTGGACTAACAGTAATGCCATGTTATCATACCTGGATGTGGTGTGTTGCTAGGGATCCAGCTTATGACCTCATGCTGGCCAGGCATGCACTCTACTGCTGAGCTTTCTGATTCTTCTATTATTTTATGGTATATGTCTGCTTTGTAGATTTGATCACCTTCAGCCACACATTATTTGGTGGGAAGGAAGAAAGGGAAACTGGTGGTAGTGGTGGTGGTGGTGGGGTATGCTTAGGGGTTACTCCTGGCTCTGCACTCAGGAATTACTCCTAGTGCTGCTCAGGGGACCACATGGGGGGATGCCAGGGATTGAACTCAAGTTGATTGTGTGCAAGGCAAGCACACTTCCTGCTGCACTCTGGCCTTAAAAATAATTATTTTTGACAGTCAAATAATTTGGTTCAGTGCCAGAGAGGTAACTCATTGGAATGAGAGCAGGCTTTCACACTCAGGATGCCCTGGGAGGATTGGTCCCTGGCACTGCATGCTTCCTCAGCATTGCCACTAGCTACTCCCGAGCACAGAGCCTGGAGTAGTCACTGAGACTACTGAATATGACTCCAAAACTTAAATATAAAAATGAGATTCTTTTCCCTCTGGAGCTACCTGAAGGAAAAAAATTTTGGTCTGAAAATGTTTTTTCTCTTCCTTCATATTTCCTGTATGAAGAGATTTTATTTTTAAAAAACTAAAAAGATTTGGTTCAAGCAAAATAAATAATTTGCACAAAGAGGGATAATTTTTTTACTCTTTTCTCCTTAGGATAGCAGTGAGATTCACTTTAAAGTGAAAATGACCACACATCTCAAGAAACTCAAAGAATCTTACTGTCAAAGACAGGTTTGTATGTTTTGCTATTAAATATGGTGCTTTATGTGTTATTAATTTCTCTATTTTGGAAGCTTACCAAGAAAACTCAACAGTAGTCCTCATACCATGTTTGTTCTTACCCCTGTTGAACTATCTCAAAATTTGAATTTTTAAGGTGTGAGGATGGAATGAGTTTGAAAAGCAACTCAGTTGTAAAAATAAGCTCTACTAATGTTTCTGTTTTGATAGTTTATCTGTATTGTAGAGTTTGAGAAGTTGCTGTAGGAAGTCCAGAATTTTTAATAAGGTGAAACAACTAGAGTTAAATTTTTAACTGGGTGACGTTTTGGAGCATGTGCATGACTGTCAGGGCTTCTGGAAGTGCAGGAGAATGGGGGGAGATAGCCTACCCCTGACTCCGTGAAAGCCTTGAGATTTCAGTTACAAAACCCGCACACCTGAGTTTTTCCAACAGATTAATTTCTGCTTTTTGGGTCACACCCAGCAATGTGCAGGGGTTACTCCTGGCTCTGCACTCAGGAATTAGTCCTGGCAGTGCTCGGGGGACCATATGGGATGCTGGGAATTGAACCCGGGTCTGCCGCGTGCAAGGCAAATGCCCTGCCCACTGTACTATCACTCCAGCCCCTCAACAGATTAATTTCTGGGTGAGGCTCTTCTGAGCAGAGGAGTATGGCTGGGAGCATGGTGATGATTGTGGAGCGTGGGGGTTTTCAGTTGGCAGGGCTCTGGGCAGTTGGGGGCTCACCTGTCCCTCTTCAGGATACCATGGATGACTCAGCCTGGCATGGCGTCTGGAAGAATCTCTTCATCTTTTTGTTTGCTCTCGAGATTTTTGAGTCTCGATCATGACCGGTGAAAGAGCTTAAATCAGGGGTCACTAGGCAGAGCTTGGACACCATATATGGTGCCAGGGCTCAAGCCCAGGTTGGTTGCATGCAAGGCAAGTGCCATCCCTGTTGTACTATCACTCCAGCCCTTAGAATAGATATATGTGTGTATGTATGTGTGTATAATATATATATGTTTATATACTATACATATATATGTGTATATATATATAAATGGTTTTTAGAGGTTGAACCCAGGGCTTGACACATATGAGGCATGTGCTCTGTTACTGAGCCACATCCCTGGCTCTCAATAGTAATGTTTTGGATCTCAACACAAGATTGCTTTTTTTTGGGGGGGGTGGGGTGGGGAGCCTTGCCAGATGTGGTCCCTGAGTGTAGAGCCAGGCATATACCCTGAGCACTGCTGGGTGTGGCCCTAAAACCAAAATACAAATTAAAATTCTGTCTTTTTCAGTGAAGTTTGTTCAATATAAACTGGAAAAGTTTATAAATCAAATGAAGAACAAACTTCCCGGGGCTCATATTTATGCACAGTGAATATTGAAAGAGTTCTAATACAGGGGATGTCTCTCTCTCTCTCTCTCTCTCTCTCTCTCTCTCTCTCTCTCTCTCTCTCTCTCTTCTCTCTCCCCCTCCTCCCCTCTCACTCTACAGATTTAAGAGACTACAGAATAGTGGTCAGGAATACAGGTTTAAGGAATGGATTTGGCTTTAGATTATTGGTGACTGTGTGCCATCTTCAAGCCTTAGATTCCAGCTTTAATGGGGTGGGGAGATGACTCAAAGGTCTGAAGTCCATACTTTGCATGTAAGAACCCTGTGTTCTCATTCCTGGCACCATATGGTCCCTTAGTATTGCTTTAAACACCACTGGGTATGGCCCCATATCTGGTGGAGGCAGGGAAGATAAGGGAAAAATGCCTTTCTTCCAGAGTTGTTGCAGTATTGGTATCAGGAGTGTCTTGTAAATAGCTGCCTAATATTTTAGTTAGCATTCTGTTAAATCACTCATATTTGTCCTTTGTGTATTCCATTATCTCTTCTAAAGGCTTTGTAGATATATTTGTATATCTATCTGTAGTATCTTTTTTTCCTTAACTTTTTAGGGAGTTCCAATGAATTCGCTCAGGTTTCTCTTTGAAGGTCAGAGAATTGCTGATAATCACACTCCAAAAGAAGTAAGTATAATTTCTTCTCCAAAGTCAAAAGTTGTAAATTTTGCATTGAATGTTTCATTGGTATTCAGATGCTCTTTCTTTGTGCATTCTGTAATTAAGTATATCATTCATCAGAGGGGAGGAAGAGGTGGAAATGGGAACTGAGTACTGAACTTGTCATAAGTTATACAGTGTAGATAGATTTTCCTTAAATTTAGCAGATGATCTCTTGGTGATGATAACTTTATGGTTTATTTTTGACTTTCAGACTAATTTGAGAACTTGACACGAAACATTATATATCAGTATATTAACTCTGTTAACTTGGTTGATATATTTTAATGCTACTGTCTTTTTAATTGTTTTATCATAAAGAATATGGTTTTCGTTATGTACTCTCAACCTTTCCATATGCTTATAGTGGAGATATTATTTGTTTGGTTTTGCGCCCACACCTGGCTGTGCTTGAGGATCACCCCTGGCAGTGCTCGGGGAACCTTGTGTAGTACTGGGGCTTGAACCCGGCTTGGCCACATACAAGGCAGGTGCCTAAATTCCCTGTACTATCTCTCTGACCCTTAATTTTTGTTAATTTTTTATTTAGAAAACATTTCAGTCTGGTGGGGCTGGGAATTGAACTTGAAGCTTCTGCATGTGTGTATTTGTGAAGTATTTTTTGTTGTTGCTGTGTTTTTTTTTTTTTTTTTTGATCACATCCGGCAAGGCACAGGGGTTACTCCTGGCTCATGCACTCAGGAATTACCCCTGGCGGTGCTTGGGGGACCGGACCGTATGGTATGCTGGAAGTGGAACTCGGGTCGGCCATGTGCTAGGCAAACACCCTACCTGCTGTGCTATCGCTCCAGCCCCTGCGAAGTATTTGTTTCAAGGCTTTGAGCCATCTTTCTGCCTGCCCAAAAATATATAACTTTCTTTTATAACTATAACTTTTTAAATTTTTTTCTCCCCTTCTGTTTTTGGGCCACATCTTATAGTGCTCAGGGCTTACTCCTGGCTCTGTGCTCAGGGATCACTCCTGGTGTGGCTGGGGAACCATATGGGGTGCTGGGAATTAGATCTGGGTCAGCTCCGTGCAGGCCCACCCTACCTACTGTACTATATCCCCTGGGTTGGCCAATTCCCTCCATTTACTGAAAAGTTATAAGAATAACACACAGAAAATTGTATTATAAGAGTAACACACAGAAAAACCATCCTAGAGTCATCTGTTTTTGATGTTTTGTTGCTTTTCACTGTAGGTTTTTTTTTTTCTCCTCACATCCAGCAGTGCTCAGTTATAATCCTGATTCTATGCTCAGGAATTACTCCTGGGAGTGCTCGGGACCATACAGGGTGCTGGTGATTGAACTGGTGTCTACCAAGTGTAAGGCAAATAAGTGCCTTATCCTGTACTATTGCTCAAGACCCGTCTTACTGCTTTTGGGGGTGGGGGCGGGGGAGGGGCTGGTGTTGGGTCACACCAGGTTATCCTGGGTCTGCACTCAGAAATTACTCCTGGCAAGCACCAAATAAAGGGTGTTAGGAAGATCGCCCAGGATGGGAGATGCATGCTGAAAGTAGACTATAGACTGAACATGATTGCCACTCAATTCCTCTTTTGCAAACCACAGCACCCAAAAGGAGAGAGAGAACAAAAGGGAATGCCCTGCCACAGAGGCAGGGTGGGATGGGGGGATGGGGAGTGGGAGGGATACTGGGATTAGTGGTGGTAGAGAATGGGCACTGGTGGAGGAATGGGTACTTGATCATTGTATAACTGAAACCCAAGCACAAAGTCTACAACTGTACCTCATGGTGTTTCACTAATAAAAATTTAAAAAAAAAAACTGACCTACAATATGAAAGGGACCATCCAGACCAAAAAAAAAAAAATTACTCCTGGCAGTGACAGTGCTTGGGGGACCATATAGGATTTCCAGGATTGAACCCAGGTTGGCCGCATGCAAGGCAAAAGCCCTACCTGTTGTACTATTGCTCTGGTTCTTTTTGTTCCTTTTTTTAAAAAATAGGGCTGAAGAGATAGTACAGAGGGTAGCATGCTTATCTTGCACATGGCTGACCAGACTTGATCCCTCGCACCCCGTATGGTCCCCTGAGTCTGCCATACGTGGAGCTATTCCCAGCTTTGTACGTGTGGCTGTTCCCAATGGTGCTCTGGGACCAGGTGATGCTGGGGGTTGAAACTGTGTCTCCTGATTGCAGACCATAGGTTATCTCTTAGTCCCTCAGATTGAAATCTGAAAATAACTGCTTTGTAGAAAATAGGATATCCCATTATTACCTAAACTATTATGCATACTTTATTAGATTTTAAACTCCTTTAAGATACTTTTCAAAAACCCTAGTTTAGTATAGAGTGCAGTTGACTCCAGAGGGTAAAATGAATGACTTCATAGAATCAGAAGGAAAGACATACTTCCAGTTCTTTAAATTAGCAGAATCAGGTGTCATAGTTTTAGGGCAGTGCAACTATGGACCAATTTTGTATCTTTGTTCTCTAAAATAGTGTAGACATATACTTGTTGCGAATTTAAAAATAGTACTCTTATGGTCTTAATTTTCTTTTCTTTTACAGCTGGGAATGGAAGAAGAAGATGTGATTGAAGTTTATCAGGAACAAACAGGGGGTCATTCAAGGGTTTAGATATTCTTTTTATTTTTTTTTCTTCTCCCTCAATCCTTTTTTATTTTTAAAAATAGTTCTTTTGTAATGTGGTGTTCAAAAAAGAATTGAGAACAGGCACCCAGTCTCTTTAAAACAACTGGTAATTTGAATTCTAGTGCCCATTATTCATTATCATTTGTTTTCATTGTGCTGATTTTTGATGATCAAACCTCAGTCCCTTCATATTGTCCTCTCCTTTTAGAAAATGTCTTGTGTGCACAGAAAGGCCACCTTTTGCAGGGACTGTGCATTTTCAGGCTTGTGATAATAACATCGACCAATGCAAGTGTCCATAATGACTTTCCAATTGGCCCTGAAGTTCTAGCATGTGAATGCTTCACTCCTGGACTATGCCTTTCAGTGGGAGATGGAAGTTTTTCAGAACTGAACTGTGGAAAATGACCTTTCCTTAACTTGAAGCTACTTTTAAAATCTGAGGGTATGGACCAAAAGAAGAGGAATATGAGATTGGAAATGATATGACAGCTATTATGAGAGTAATGACTAACTCCAAAGATGGCTTCACTGAAGAGAAAGCATTTTAAGATTAAGGAGAAATCTTGTCAGAAGATCCCAGAAAAGTTCTTTTATTAGCAGTTAAAGTTATTCCTGCAGAAGTGTATACGACAGAACACTGCTCTTTTTTTGATTTTGTTTGTATTTTTGGCCTGGGATATGGGTTTTAAATGGACATTGTCTGTACCAGCTTCATTAAAATAAACAAAATATTTGTAAAAACCGTACTAATGTTCATTTTATTTTTAATTGTACAGGAAAAAATTTCCTAAACATAGTTTTCTTGCATAGTATTGGAAATTTTGATTTATACATGGTACAAATACATTTTTCTTCAGAACTGTACAATAAAAAATTTGACCTTGAAGCACTGAAAGTTACTGAAGTGCCTTCTGAATTAAGGATTTAATTAAGGCCACAATATTTTAAATACTCATTGTTCTGTTAAAAAAACAAAACTTGATATTCCTGTATGGTGCATATATCTGTGATAGTTAACCAACGTGTTGAATAAATGGGCACAAGAAAAATTTTTACTTGATTTATATAAGATAATCTTTTTCTTTTTAACAATTTACAAAATGTTCTTTGCTCACTTAAGCTTTGGTATGTCTATATATATTTTTCTTTAATTTCTTTCCAAAATATTTAAACTTTTGTGTCAAATTAAAATACCAAGTTCTTTATTAGAGTGCTTACCTTTTTCTTTTAACTGTAATGTTTTATGGAACTCATTACATAGTCCAATTCATATTACCCCAAGTGGAATTTATCTAACTAAAAGAAGAGCAAATAAGGCGCTGTTGAAATAGTACAAAGGTGCGGGCCCCGAGTGATAGTTCAGCAGGGAGGGCACTTGCCGTGCATACAGATGAGTTAGATGCAATCCCTGAGATCCCATGTGGTTCCCTGAGCACCACCAGGGATAAGTCCTGAGTGCAGAGTCAGGAATAAACCCTGATCATTGCCAGTTGTGAACCCAAAACAAAGAAACTATGGTGCTTGTCTTGCATACTGGTTTGAAGTCCAGCACTGCATACAGTCCTCAGAAAACCACCCCAAATAAATGAAAAGCAAATTTATCTCAAAAGCAAAAAACAAACAATACCCCCTCAAGTCACCTGTTGAAAACTGGCTTGCCTTTTTTTTTTTTATCTGATCCTAACTGAAAAATTAATTGTAGTTATACATATTTTGTGTAGATAAATTAGGGCTACTAAACTATCACATGGCATTTATCATATATTAAATAGTGACCAGGAATTTGACCCCATTTCTAGGAAATCCTCATTAAGCTACATATTTCCTTTTGTTAAAAAGATTTTTATTAAACTACCATGATTTACAAAGTTATTGAGTTGGGCTTTAGACATACTGGGAGCACTAGTCCCATCACCAAGTGTTTCCAGCTTCCCTGCCACCTACCGCCCACCACCATCCTTAGCCTGCCACTTTGACAGGCACCTTTTTAAGTTTGGATCTCACGTTTTCAGTGTTGTTGACTCTGTTTTAAATGCTTAGCTCTGTCACTCCGTCACATCAGCGATGCTCCCTGTTGTTTGTCTCTTCTTCCCGCTTCAATTTCTTTCCTTCTCTGCCCTTCTCCCTATACTCTGGATCCATGGGTATATTAGTCACCCCCCTTTCAAACATTGCATTCCCTTTCCAGTTATTCTATGAGTTATGTATTTCTGTCAGGACCAAGTAACAAATCTGATAGGTCATTTGAACTGTCCCATGACTAGCTTGGTATCCTTTGATCTCAGTATCTAAAGGTGCTCCGCATCTGAATGAGCTTGGTTACTGGAAAAATAATTTTCTTGTACATAGTTTTTTTAGACACTTCTAAATGCATTGCATTCTGCTATAGATAATGTAAAAAGTAATATCTAAAGGTGCTCAGCATCTGAGTGAGCTTAGTTAATGGGGAGGTAATTTTCTTGTATATAGTTTATTAGTCTCTTCTAAATGCATTACATTCTGCTATGGGTTAACTTAAAAAATGCGATTCTCTGTTGTGGTAGAGCTGACAAAATAATGTTTTACAGCAACAACTTATTCGTTGATTGCCTCAAGCAGGCCCCGGCAACAACTTAATAGAACTTAATCAGGTTTGGAAGGGACCTTGAATACCATGTAGTGCAGCCACTTTCACCTGGTGCTTTACTGCAACATCCTAAATTTGTTCAAGAGGAAGAAAATATGTTTGTTAATGTTAAGGTTCCCCACAAGAATGCTGTCCTGAAGTTTTCTGACCTTGATTGAATTTTTCTCACTGGCCTAAACGAATCACATGAACAAATGATAGTACATGTGGGGTCAACATGCGTGAGAAAAGTATCATTTAAGTTCACCAGTATTGTGACTATTTTTATTCATACTGAACATGAATTACTTAAAGCAAGGAATAAATAACGGATCTAAGTAAGTCAAATAATATAAAATAAGAAAGAAGTTCTGGATTCCATGTAGAGGTACAGTTCTTTCAGACAGGTAATAGTTTTATAGCATTAGTGGAATATAACTGAACAGTGAGGTATAGAGAGGGGCCAAAAGAAATTTGTGTGTATGGGAGGGGGTATTGCTTTAAAACCTTTTTATGTAACTTAACTTGCTTAAAGGTCTCTCACCCTTTAAACCTACTAAAGACAAATGATCCATTCAAAACTCTGCCTTACATATGAAAGAACTCTTTACAAACAGCTTGACCTCTGGGGGCCAGAGTGATAGTACAGTCTGACCCCCTGCATACAGTCCCCTGAGCACTGCTGGGAATAAATTCCTGTATGCAGAGCCAGGAGTAGTCCCTGAGTATCGCTGGTTGTGCCCTACCCCTGCCCCCCAAAAAACAAAACAAAACAAATGACCTTAAAAAAAACACTAGACTGCTTTAAGTATGATTTTGAGTGGGTTTTAAAAACAGTTTTGTGAGTGGTTCTTAAAGTTCCAGTTGGGAGCAAAAACTCAATGTTTGGTCATTTTAAGGGCTCTAGACAAAACTCCTGAGAAAATCATTTTTGACCAATGATGGCTCTTGAGCATTTGAAAGGTAGCTAGTGTCACTAGAGAATTGAATGTTTTAAATAACAAGCAACATTGTAACTGCTTATTGGACAAATGCAGCTCTAGAATTTATACTTTGAGGGTGTAGGAAAGCCTTTAACATCTCATTTTCTTTTCATAAAATGAATATCAATTTAAGTGAACATTAAAATGTCTTATTGTAAGTAGACATTAAAATGTAGGGTCCAGGGGCTGGAGCAATAGCATGGGGATAGGGCATTTGCCTTGCACACAGCCGACTTGGGTTCGATTCCCAGCATCCCGTATGGTCCCCCCAGCACACCAGGAGTGATTCCTGAGTGCAAAGCCAGGAGTAACCCTTGTGCATCGCTGAGTGTGACCCAAAAAGCAAAAAAAAAAAAAAAAAAGTAGGGCCATTTAAAAGTGGACATTAAAATGTAAAATGTAGGGACCAGGAATAGATATATGAATTACCTACTCAGTTCAGATTTGCAAAATTTCCATATACTTGCATCTCTTAGTTATACTGGCCAAAATGAAACACGTTTAACTCTTCTAAGGCAATGTCTTATTAACTGAAATAAAAACTAGTCTTAATGAAATATGGACACTTTCAGATATGAAAGTCAGATTTATGTGTTTCCAAAAACAGGATTTTGTTGAGTTGAATTAGGCTGAGTCAGTATGTGTGAAGGGAGGTGGGAATGGTGCTCTTAAAAGTGAAGGTAGGTGTGGATTGTGGCAGACCAAATGAAATGGAAATAATTGGACTCAGTATAAAATTCAGAAGGAAGTTCCTGTCCCAACTTACTTTTAAGTTTTCTTCTAGCTTTTAAGGTCTGGGTATTTGTAGGAACTGGAAATAAGAGTAGACCCATGGTCTGGAAATGTTGTGTGCCCACTGCAGGCCATTGGCTTCCTTAAGAAATTCTTGGTGGAAATGAAGATGTTTCTTCAAAGCAGATTTTTGCCTAAGGAGACAACCCCACCCCAATGCCAACATTGATTAAGTATTTGGATTTGAGAAATCATCAGTTCAACTACAGGCAACTGATTTTACAACATAATGGAAGGTCACTATTCATTTACAAACTACATGAGAGGTTTAGAAACTCTTGGAAAAGTGAAAGATGCAACACATTTTAAAAATTTCATTCTTAAGAGGGACTTAATTTAAGATGTGAGACAGTGAAGTAAAAGGATCTGAATCAATGTCACATAAGTTTGAGATGAAATTGAGCCTTTTGGCATCAAGTTCTGACCTGGATGGAGTGAGGCTTTTCCTCATACATCATCTCTTTAGTTACCTTGTTTCTTGCTTTCAGCTTCTTAGACTAGTTTTAGAAATTGCTCAACACCCCATTCTGTGACTTGCGAGTTTTCTTTTTGTGGAAAATTAGAACACAAATAGTTTGCTTTTTAGTCTACTTACGAAGCCAACCCTCCTGCTATGATACATAAAATACATTTCAAAATTGAATCAAGATTTGATTCATAATTTACATTGTGAATATAAATTATGTGATGTTTCATAATTTACATAATAGTAAAGTCCAAGAGAGAAGCGCTCTCTCTCTCTCTCTATATATATATATATATATAATATATATATGTATATATATAGCGCCAAACTGGCAGTGATTAGGGCTTACTCCTGGCCCTGCATTCAGGGATCTGTCCTTGCAAGGCTCAGAGAACTAAATCAGGTGTTGGGAATCCAACTGGTCAGCTGCATGCAAGGGAAGTGCCTTACCTGCTTAAACTGTATCCTTAACCCCAGAAAATCTTGAAATAGAGATGGTCTGACTGCCATCTCTTTCTAGTCCCTTAAGCAGTAGTTCCTTAGATTCAGATTAAGTTATGGGAAATAAATTTCAAGGGGTGAATAGTTTGCCTTGAAAGTAGGGAGATTTGGCTTTCTGTGTCAGTGTTCCTGCCTATTTTGTTGGTTCTAAAAAGGGATAAAAAAAAACTAACACTTGTATTCCTTTCTTTTGGGTTTCCTTTGCTATAGTGAGTGATATCCAGGATTTACTCCTGGTTTTGGGCTCAGTGATCACTCCTGGCAGTGCTGGGGGAGCATATGCGATGTTGCAGATCAAACTGGGGTTGGTCACATGCAATGCAAGCAACTTTAATCTCTACAATTTTATCTGGCTCTATATTCCCACCCCCAGCCACATCATGTGGTGCTCAGGTATTACTCCTGGTTCTGCATTCAGAAATCATTCCTGGCGGGCTTGGGGAGCCACATGGGATGCTATGGATCGAACCTGGGTCTGCTGTGTGCAAGGAAAGTGTCCTACTCACTGTATTATATTCCTAGCCCCAAACCCTGATATTCTTTATAGCTTTGGGGATCATACCCAGTGGTTTCCAGGCACAATTTCTCCTCAGGACTAACAGCTCAGGACTGACCTCTGGTGTGACTCAGGAACCCATGAAGTGCCAGGGAGAGAGCTTGGCAAGTGTATTATTTTGCTCCTGTATTATCTCTCTACCTCCAAACTTAGGTGTTTTTTTTTTTTTTTTTTTTTTTTTTTGCTGTGTGTGTGTGTGCGCGTGCTTGGCCGGGGGTAGGTGGGGCACACCTACTAAGGGGCTACTCTTCGCTCTATCACTCCTGGAAGTGGTTGGGGGAACCATATGGGATGCTAGGGATTGAACCGGGTCAGCCCACATGCAAGGCAAACTCCCTACTGGCTACTATTTCTCCAAGAGCTTAGTAGTCTTGCTCTGGCCAAGCAATCTGAACTAAGACCCCTGCTATTTTGTTTTAAATAAAATGTTAGTGCATTACTGTCTGTTTAAACAGATTTTATTTTAAATCTGTTTTAGTCGTTCTCTATATGGGTAGAAGAACATATGTATTGCTTACACTTGAATCCCCAGTGTGTAGAGTAGTGTTTGACACTTGATAAGTACCCAGGTAAATTGGTACCCATTGACAAAGGAGGTACTGATTCACAATCAGGGATCTTAGATCTTGCCTTGCCATATCCTCAAGTTGCTAATCATCCTTGATCAAGATTCTCTTTGGGACTCGCTTTTTTTTAGCTGTAAATTGAAATTTGAGAGAGATCTGTAAACTTGTTGGTTTTAATGCAGGTTCCTTAAGCTCTAAAGAAATTGTGAGTTTTTCTTTTTGGGTCACACCCAGCAGTGCTCAGGAGTTACTCCTGGCAGTGCTCTGGGGACCATATTGGGTACTGGGGATTGAACCTGACTTGGATGTGTGTAAGGCAAGTGCCCTACCTGCTGTATTATCACTTGGGCCCCAGAAATTCTGTGACATTTGCAGACAAAGAATATTTGCATATTCTTCCAAACCCATGCTTATAGAAAGTGAGAAGTTGTTACTTGCTCAAAGGCAGTGAGTAACACTAGGTTGTCAAGCCCTTGAACACCTCTATGGCATTTGTTACCCAAATAGGCATCCAGTACCTGGCTTCTTCCTGGGCCTGTTTCATGGCATCCTCTAGCGCCAGCCTCGCAGCCTCCTCTTCCTTCCGCCTTCTCTCCTCTGCTTCCAGTCGTGCCTTCTCTTCTGCTTCCTGTTTCTGCCTCTGATACTCCAGTCGCTCTTCTTCAGCCATTTCCATCAGACGTTTTTGTTCCTCTGCTAACTGCATTTCCAGTTCCTTCTGTCTTTGCTTCTCTTCCTCTGTAGAATAGACATGGGGGATATAGTCTTTGCAGAGGTCTCCTCATCAGAGAAGAGTTCTCTGACCTAACCCTCAAGTTTGTGAGTTTTAGACTATGATAAATGATGAGGCTTGCCTGCCAGCAGGCTACTGGGTCCCTGATGAAGATAGCCTTGGAGTTAATTCCTGAATTTAAAGATCTTTATTAAGCATCTATTATGCAGTGCTCTGTGTCATTAATGCAAAACCATGGGTCAGAGAGAGAGAGAGAGAGAGAGAGAGAGAGAGAATCAGCAGCTGACCCAGGTTAGAACCAAAGCTCTGCATCTGGTGCCCTGAGTCAGGACAAGAGTGATCTTCAAGATCAGAGCCAGGACTAAGCTCCGAGCACTGTTGCATGTGGCCCAAAAGACAAAATCTTGGAAATTTTCAGAGTTGTGTGCTCATGGGGTAATATGGCTTGGGGAGATGTGCAGATCAGGATTTAGAAAAAAATGGTTTGTACTCAGCTGCACCGACTAATCTAAATTAACTTTTTTTTTTTTTAACCTTAACTCAGTAGATTGGTGTTGGTCTTCAGAAATTTCCCACTGGTTTGTGAAAAACTAACTGCTGGTTAACACGTAGTAAGGGGCAGAAGCAATAGTACAGCATTTAGGGCATTTATTTACCTTGCATGTGGCCAACCTGGGTATGGTCCCCTGTCAGGAGTGATTCTTGGGGAAAGATCCAAAAGTCCGCCCTGGGTATGGCCCCCAAAGCAAAACTAAGAAACACATCATACATCTGGATTGTGAGGTCGTACTATTATAAATATTGGTGTATAAATGTTCTTACAATAAGATCATTTTAAATTTCTGCCCTAGAGGTCTGTAATTTCTTCAATTTGTACTGGTCCACAGATGTGAAAAAAAGTTGAAAACTGCTGATGTGATGACTAGCACTTGCTAAAGCTGCTTCTTTCCCCTCAAAATTGTAGCTGTAGAGAGTTCACTCTGAGCGGGCTGCCCTGAAGCTACCCAGCTATTTGCATCTGTTAGGAAAGGAAGTGAAGAGCAGGCCTGGGTGTTCAGTTTAGGCCCCTCCAGAGCACTGTGGAGGGGAGGCAAAAGGGGTGGGTGGGTGGGGGTAGGTCAGAGTCTCAGTTCAGAAGATAACTGAATTGGAAGCTGGACCTAGGAGTCATTGTGTGTGTGTGTGTTGGGGGGGATGGGGGGAGTGGAGGATGCATGGAGAAGGGGGCGAGAGCAGGGAGTGAGGAGGCTTGGGCCCACCTAGCTCAACATTTACTCCTACTTCTGTGCTCAGGAACTACTACTGGCAGTGCCTGGGAGACCATATTTGATGCTGGGAATTGAACTGATGTCAGCCTTAGAAGTCATTTTTATGTTTTTTTTTCCTTTTTTTTTTTTTGCTTTTTGGGTCATACCCAGCAATGCACAGGAGTTACTCCTGGTTCATGCACTCAGGAATTACTCCTGGTGGTGGGATACTAGGAATCGAACCTGGGTCTGCTGCGTGCAAGGCAAACGCCCTACCTGCTGTGCTATCGCTCCAGCCCCCTCATTCTTATGTTTTGATATTTTTAATTAATTAATTAACTTATTTATTTGCTTCCTGGGTCACACCCAGGTGATGCACAGGGGTTACTCTTGGCGGTGCTCAGGTCACACCCAGGTGATGCACAGGGGTTACTCTTGGCGGTGCTCAGGGAATCATATGGGATGCTGGGAATTGAACCCGGGTCGGCCGAATGCAAGGCAAACGCGCTATCCGCTGTGCTATCTCTCCAGCCCCTGTTTTGATATTTTTTAAATATTCCATCTCAACTACAGTATTTTATCATCATGACTTTGGGAGAAAATAAAAGAGAGTTTACACTTTATCTAATTAGGGTGCTTCCCACACTCAAGTTGAGACTAGGAAGAACTTGGAGATCCCAGCGAACACCACTGTGAGATAAAAATAAAACATTGAGACCAGAGCGACAGCACAGCGGGTAGGGTGTTTGCATGAGGCTGACCCGAATTTGATCCTCAGCATCTTATATGGTCTCCAGAGAAATGCCAGGAGTAATTCCTGAGTGCAGAATCAGGAGTAATGCCCTTTGCCTTGCGGGGTGTGACCCCCAAAGCAAAACAAAGCGAAACATTGAGCAGGGTGGACAGAGGATGCTAATACTCCCTCACCAGCCCGCTCCTCTTCCTCCTGCTGCTTTTTCCTCTGTAGTTCCTGTAGCTTCCTCCGGATCTCTTCCTGCTGCTGCCGGGCTCTCTCCTGGGCGGCCTGTAACTGGAGCCTCTGCCTCCTCTCCTCCTCCTCCTGCCGCCGCTGTTCTTCTTCTCGTCTCTGTTTCCTCAAACTGAGAAGACACAGCCAGCAGGGCAGAGGGGCTCAGACACCACGAGGGCATCCTGGGGACCCTCTGGAACATCCTCCTTTAGAGGAAATGCTACCTGGGAACCTGGGGCACAAAGGGAGTGCAGCTAGACGCTGAGTTTGCACACACCACCTGGCTCTGTGCCTTCATTTTCAGAACTCCGTTTTCCAGTTTAATCCTTGGGAAACTTCTGCAGTCAACAGTCAAGCAAGGCCGGTGGAAAGTGTTTACTAGTGCAACACAGGATGGTAGGGTCTTTTTTTTTTTTTTTTTTCCTTTTTGGGTCACACCCGGTGATACACAGGGGCTACTTCTGGCTCTGCACTCAGGAAGGTGCTTAGGGGACCATATGGGATGCTGGGAATTGAACCTGGGTCAGCCATGTGCAAGACAAACGCCCTACCCGCTGTACTATAGCTCCAGCCCAGGGCCTTATTTGTGAGATGAGCCTCAAAGCCAGTCCCAGAACATCCCGGAACATCTCTCAGGAGCAGCCCAGATGGCATGACCCTGCACCATATCTTTGGTCCAGGTGGTCACTGAGGCGGGAGGGAAATGAGACAGTGATATACAGCGTCAAGCAGATGCAAACTTTGGCCCAGGTGGAGGTGAACCCCTGTCTTTTTCCTGCTCGCGGGACTCACCGGATCTCCTCGGCGCGCCTCTGCTGTTCCAGCTCCAGCTCTGCCTTCATCTGCTCAGCCCGCGCCAGCTGCTCTTGCTGGCGGCGCCGCTCCTCCTCTTGCTCCCGCCGCTGCCTCTCCACTTCCAGCCGCCGCTTCTCGGCCTTCTCTGCCCGCAGTCTGTCCTGGTGCTCCCTCTTAGCCAGGAGGCTCTGCGGAAACGGAGCAGGGGAGGTCGCCGGAGACCGGTGGGCCGATGTCCCCGCGCCCCACTGCTCCCCACACTCAGTGTTGGAAGCACAAATTGGTTGCCACACTTGGTCACAGGTGCTTCCTCTCAGCTGCCACCCGCTGGTTTGGGCTCTGGGGTATCAGATCTTAGTTTCTTTCTTGCTTCATTCCCCCCCCCCCCCCCCCAGGAGCTTTTCAAAAATTACTGGAAGGGGGTGGGGGCTGGACCAATAGCACAGCGGTAGGGCATTTGCCTTGGAAGCGGCCCACACGGCCAACCCGAGTTCGATGCCTCTGCCCCTCTCGGAGAGCCCGGCAAACTACCGAGAGATATCTTGCCGGCACGGCAAAGCCTGGCAAGCTACCCATGACGTATTCCATACGCCAAAAAAAAAAACAGTAACAACGAGTCTCAAAATGGAGACATTACTGGGCCTGCTCGAGCAAATCAATGAACAGTGACTGGAGTGGGGCTGGAGAAAGAGTACATAGCAGGCAAAGTCTTGCACGCAGCTGAAGCAAGTTCAACCCCTGGCACCATATATAGTCCCCTGAGCACCACCAGGAGTGACCCCTGATTAGAGCCAGGTGTAGTCTCTGAGTACCTCTGGATGTGCCCTCCCTGCCATTTACTTAAGAAAATGGGAAGATAGGGGCTAGAGCGATAGCATAGCGGGTAGGGTGTTTGCTTTGCACGCAGCTGACCCGGGTTTGATTCCCAGAATCCCATTTGGTCCCCTGAGTACCACCAGGAGTAATTCCTGAGTGGAGAGCCGGAGTAACCCCTGTGCATTGCTGGGTGTGACCCAAAAAGAAAAAAAAAAGAAAATGGGAAGATGGCTCAAAGGTTGTTGAATTCAAGAATTCAAAGGTTCTTGAATTCAATAATTCACACATTCTTGAATGTGTGAGACCCCAGGTTGGATCCCAGAGCACTGCAGACCCCCTTAAGCACCCTCAGGTATGGCTGGGTGGTCCCCAGCTCTTCAAGTGAGCAGCACTGCATCACTGCATGCTGGAACTGGGCTCAGTGTCAGCAGGAGTAACCCTTGAAGCCTTTGAACACTGCTGGGGAAGCCCCCCACCCCTCCAATTACTGGAGGTCAATACCTCATCCAGATTAAGTGCAAATATCTCCATGGCTTTATAAACTGCTCAGGTTATTCTAATGTAAAGCCAGACTGGGGTCAGGGTTCCAGATGCAGGCTGTCATGCCAGGAACTACCTTGGGGATAGATGAATTGATCTCACATTGAATCCATAGAAACCCACTTTTTCTAGGAAAGATTTTTAGTATATAGGAAGGATGTCTTGGAACTTCCTTTCTCTCCTTTGCACTTTTCTCGGTTCAGAAGTATGCCCATGGAGGGGACCTTGAATTTTCCTCCTTCTACCTGTATCTGACTTGGGATAAAATGTCTTTGCAAATGCCTTTGCAAAGCAGCACAGTGGTATGAATTAATAAATTCAAAACAGGAGCCAGAGTAATAGTACAGAGGGGAGTATGCTTTCTTTGCACACGGTAAATGCAAGGTCAATCCCTGGCACCCCATAGGGCCTGCCAGGAATGATTCCTGAGTGCAGAGCCAGGAATAAGCTCTGAGCTCCACTGGATACATACCCCCAACCCACTCGACATTTCAAAATAGTCTGATAACCTGGCAGGCCCAGAAAAACTTTTTTTAAGAGAGAAAATTTCCATAATCTAAGCAGCGGGGAGAATTGATTACTATAAGGGAAAAAATTGATCTGATTCACAGTAGTATTAATATCAGATACTTTATTAGACACACAATGCTACTTCACCTACTCACCACCAGAGGGCCAGCACCCCTCCACCACTACCCTCTAGGTCCTAGATCCCCTACCCTAGAGGAAAAGTCTTTTTGACAATTTTTTTTTGTAGATCATGGGCTATAAAATAAACATAACTTTAAAAAAAATTCAAGACCTCTGACACTGGAGCCACAGGACCTGGGTTCAAGTCTTGCCTCTACCATTGGAAGGTTGTGTAGCTGCTGGCAAAAAATCATCTCCTAGGCGCAGGGGCTTGGTCTGTACAGCGGGACTAGTCAGTTCTGCCCAAAGTGTGGCTATGACAGTGAAGTGAGATTTAGCACTTCATTGAAAGTCTTCCCTTGTCAGTTTTAGAGACATTTCATCTTAAACCACCTTCCAAACTCCAGTGCTCTGTTTTAAAATCTAGTGCACTCTGCAGATGACTGTTTACAATTCTTTGCAGGTCCAGGCAGGGAAAGAGTCAACCATCTTCCACTGCCAGAAACATAATCAAATGTTGTGGGCAAAGAAAGTATCAACAACCTCCAAGGTCTCTGAGCCACTAGCAGAGCCTGCAGCTTCCAAAGGGCTTAGTTCATGCAAAAATAACACAGAATGCCATAGGAGACCAATGAAATGTCAGACGCTTCTTTCAAAATCTTGTCTGGAAATGTTGAGGTGCCCTACTTCAGTCTGGCAATTAAGAGATAAACTGAGAACATCATTACTCACAGAGTAGTTGTCTAAGCTAGTGCTTTTATGAAGAAGAGAACTGATAACCTCCTAGAAAACAACTATCGTGGGCTCTTTCTGATGCCCCTTCCATCAGGAGCCCTTCATGTCTCTACTCTCAATTAACTTTCACTTCTTTTTTTCTTTTTTGCTTTTTGGGTCACACCCGGCGATGCACAGGGGTTTCTCCTGGCTCTGCGCTCAGGAATAACCCCTGGCGGTGCTCAGGGGACCATATGGGATGCTGGGAATCAAACCCGGGTCGGCCGTGTGCAAGGCAAACGCCCTACCTTCTGTGCTATTGCTCCAGCCCCAACTTTCACTTCTTTGTGATTTGAACCTCGCCTATGGGAAACCCAGACCTATCCCAGAACACTCAACATAGCTGTCACGGTAGACTTAACCTGTCCTTATCTGCAAAAGATTCAAGTGTACCTGGAACTCAGTCGCACAGTCAGCCACAGTGGTTTAGCAATGGGGCTTCATTTTGTTTAGAGACTGCCAGCACCTGGCTCTGTGGTAGTGCTTGGGGAACCATGTGGTGCTGGGGATAGAACGCAGGTCTTCTGAGTGCAAAGCAGTACTCAACCTCTTGAGTTTTTTCTCTGGACTGCTGTGAGTGTTGCTGTACTGTTTAAAGGTACTTTTCTTTTTGTGGGAATGTGGGGGGCTTGAGTCACACCCAACTCTGCTCAGGAACTATTTCTGGCTTTGTGTTCAACGGTCACTCCTGGCAGTGCTTGAGGATTGCAGCGGTGGAGACTGAACCGGGATTGGCTGCATGCTTTTTCTGCATTCCGGTAATACGCTTTCTGTCCCCAACTTTATTTTTATTTATTTATTTATTTATTTATTTATTTTTTGCTTTTTGGGTCACACCCAGTGATGCACAGGGGTTACTCCTGGCTCTGCACTCAGGAGTTACTCCTGGCAGTGCTCAGGTGACCATATGGGGTGCTGGGAATTGAACCCGGGTCGGCTGCATGTAAGGCAAACGCCCTACCCGCTGTGCTATCTCTCCAGCCCTTTATTTTTATTTTTGTGAAATATTTTGTAAAATATTTTGTAAAGTACTCATAACAACAAATTATTCCAATAGCATTGAGGAATAAGCCGGCAGTGTCGATCCTATTAATAGTTTTATCTGTATGGTGTTATTACTTTTGATTAGTTGCAAGGATTTTCAAATATAGTCTTCCTTTCCTTTTTTCATCACTAGAGCCACTCCCAGAAATGTTGGGGGGTGGTCATTCAGTGGCAGGGATTGGACTCAGAACTTTGCATGTGCTCTGCTACTTGAACCATCTCCCTAGGCCCACTGATTCAGCAAAAAGATTTTCTTCCCTTTTCCTTCCCTCTTGCTAGAGGGTGAACAGTGTTTAGCTGTGCTGTGCACACAGACTTGCGAGGACCCATTCTTCAGTTGTGTGCTCTTGCACATCCTGGGAGACTGGAGACCACACACCTTGTTGTATTGCTGAGTACCCCATACAGCAGAGCTCAGGAAAGGTGTATGGGGGAGTATTGGGGATCAAACTTGCAGGCTCTCTATCCTTCGGCTTGCAAAACAAGTGCTTTTGCCACTGAGCCATTTCTCCACCAATCCCATTTATTAAACATTTTTTTCCTCACAAAAAATGTAAGCCTTGGGGGTATGGTGCCTCCAGCAGGTCAGTCTGTACCTGTGAGGTGAGTGCATCAGCAGCCTGATGGCGCCTTCAGACTTCCAGATACCCCAAAATTGCTGCTGTGCCTTTGGCCAGACCCCAAAAACTTGGGGCAAAATTTACCAAGAAAGTAAACGGCCAAAAGTTAGGTATGTGGGAAACATACCCACAAACAACCTTCGACTCAGCTATATAATTGGAGGCATGGCCTCTCTGGTTCCTGATTGAATGCTTAATGGCCATGATCTCAGAGACTCAGAAACAAATCTCAAAACCCAGCAGCTTTTGACAGAAATGCGTCCAGTTCCTGCAGTAGGTTACCAGTGCTGGGCCAACCCAGGTGGGAATAGGTTTCATGCCTTGGCCTGTTCCTCCTGGTGGCCCAGTGGCCGCCATCCTTTAGAGGCCACTGGACAGTGAGGTTTGGGCCTGTAGTGACGAGGCATGCAGGGCCTCATGGAATGGGGGTGGAGCCGGTCCTGTCCTCCCCACCCCTACGAGACCCCAAGTCATTGCCCATGAACAGCCTCTCTGGCTCCTGATCAAGCTGCTTAACGGCCATGATCCCAGAGACTCAGAAACAAATCTCGAATCCCAGCGGCTTTTGGCAGAAATACGTCCAGACCACGCAGTAGGTTACTGTCACCGGGCCACCCCAGGGGGGAAAGGGTGTTGTCCCTCCGCCTGCTCCCCATTGGTGGCTTGGTGGCCGCCATACTCCAGAGGCCATTGGACAGTCAGGCTTGGGCCCACAGTGACGAAGCTTGTTGGACCTCATGGGATGGGGGTGGAGCCAGTCCTGTCCTCTGCACCCCAACGAGACCCCAAGTCATCGCCCACGAACGGCTTTTCTGGCTCCTGATCAAGCTGCTTAACGGCCATGATCCCAGAGACTCAGGAGCAAATCTTGGAACCCAGCAGGCTTTGGCAGAAATCCCTCCAGATTTGTGTTAAAATTTTGGAATTTCAAAATTGTGAAGCCAGGAGCAATAGCACAGCAGGTAGGGCGTTTGCCTTGCACACGACCGACCCGGGTTCAATTCCCAGCATCCCATATGGTCCCCTGAGTACCGCCAGGGGTAATTCCTGAGCGCAGAGCCAGGAGTAATCCCTGTGCATTGCCGGGTGTGACCCAAAAAGCAAAAAAAAAAAAAAAAAAAAAAAAAAATTGTGCAGCCACTACTGCAGCCACGTGACATCATATGTTATTCATAACCAGCAATAGAAAACAAATTGTCTACTGTTGCCTTCAGCAGATCTGAGTGTTGGGGTAAAATCTCAAATAATAATGGTGGGTCTGGTGTCAAAATATTGAATGTGATCAAATAGAGAGAGAGTAATGTGGAAATCATCTGCCCCACAGGCAGGGGGAGGGTGTGGGATGGGGGTATACTGGGGTTGTTGGTGGTGGAGAATGGGCACTGGTGAAGGTATGGGTGTTTCATTGTATGACTGAGAATTAGACCCAAAAGCTTTGTAACTGCTTTCACGGTGATTCAATAAATAAAATTATAAAAAATGAAAAAAAAGTAAGGTGGAGTTCATGCACAATTCAATCAGCTAATCAGTGGCTGAATAAATAGCAGTACTCCTACATAAAAAAATTTAAAAAAAGTCAGCCTTAGAATCAAGGCCCCTGGAAGAAAATAACTCTTACCCACTAAAGCACCTTGTATGGCAGAGGTGTGTAGTTAAAGCTGCCCAAGGCCCAGCTGTGCCACAGAAAAGCAAGCTAGAAAAGGAGATGATTCCTCACCTTTGGGAGAAGGCAATGCATAAAATTCAGACAAAGCCGAGAAAAAGTCTGTGCTGTGGGACTGGAGAGGGAGCTCAAAGGGTGGATGCAGACTTTGCCTGTGAGAGACCCCACATCAGTACCTGGCATCCTCAGCACTGCTGGGAATGATCTCTGAGCCTGAATTGTGACTAGCTCCTGAGCTCCACTGGGTGTGACCTCCAAACAACAACTACAAAAATATGTGCTTGGCTCTAGTGGCCCATGTCCACCTTCTCTAGCTGGAGGCCTCGACCTCTCAGATTGCAGCTCTTTCAGGGCTGGGTACATGTAGCAGTTTTGGAATCCCAGATCATGTCAAAGGGGTTTTGATATTTGGTCAATTCTGATAAAAGGGTCAGAAGTACCAGAGGACAGTTTGGACCACTACGTAGTACAGTCATGTCAGTACCTGTGGGGTGGTCCAGGCATCACCCCCCACTTCTGTCCCAAGATCAGTGGCACTGATAAGGACCAAAGCCCCCAGCACTCCCCCCAGTCTGGGAATGGGCACTGACCTTGGCAGGGTCCTCAGTGCTTGTGTCTTCTGCAGATGCCACACCCTCAGCCACAGTGAGGGTCTGGCTAGGGGATGCTCGACTGTCTATAGACACTTGGCTCTCCTGAACCTCATCTGTGGGAGGAAACCAGGGGTCCTCTGCCCCAGAGCCCCGGGGAAAGAAACTCCCATCAGAGGTGTCCCCTGATTCCTTATCGCTGGGGGCCTCAGACCCACTCAGCTCAGCCGCTGTCTCCGGATTCCTTTCCATCCGTGTCCGTTTTCTTTTGGCTCCTGTTTTTTTTGCTTTGGGAACTAGGTGTGATTTCTTTTCAGCCTTTGGTTTCTTTGACTTTCCTGAGGGAGAACAATTGTGGGCAGAAAGTAAACATGATTTTGATGCAACTTTGTCTCTCTTTTTTAAAGCTTCCTTGTGCAATGGAATCAATTATATGGGGGTATAGATTCCTGAGCTCCAAGGCTGGGGCCTGAATCTAGAGGAATCTGTTTTCTTGAGTAGGGTAGTGCCACAGACTCCCCTTTGAGGCGCTGGCATTAGCCTATTGGGAACAACTGTAGCTCAGGAGTGCCACTGCGCTCTGTCACCCTGACCTGTGGTGGGGACAAGTCTCTGGCAGGAGAACTAGAGACACAGCTGCAAAGTCATATCCCAGGAGTCTGTCTTGAGTTGCAGCTTTGTAACCTGGCAACATTTTTAAGCCTTTGGTACTCAAAAGGATTCGTCTTCATTTCACCTCTTGGGTGACAAGTATTTTCCTTGCTTAATTTTGTCCTTGCTACTCAGGTCATGGGGAGCTTTAACAATGTGAGCAAGAGTTTTAAAAAGCACCCCCCCCCCCCCCCCCGCAATGGGGCTGGAGAGATAGTACAGCATGTGACATGCTGGCCTTGCATGCTGCTGACTCAGGGTCAATCGCCAGCATCCCATATAGTCCCTGAGCACTGCCAGGAGTGATCTCTAAGTGCAGAGCCAGGAGTTAGCCCTGAGAATCGCTGGGTGTGGCCCCAAAACAAACAAACAAACAAACAACAACAACCAAAAAAGCAACCTTTCAAAAGAGATTGTCCTTTCTGTTCAGGTAGTCTTCTGAAACACGTGAGTAGGAAAGGATGCATAGGTTTTAAGCTAAAGAAAGTTTCAGAAGTACAGGAGTTTGTTTTTCGTAGAAGATACAACACAGGTTCCTGAGAGGATAAAGTGGCAATGAGGGTAACCACTCAGAGCTGTGGTATCCTTCTCCTCTAAGTTAGCGGACTGTGAGTTACTTAGTTCATATAAACAGTGATACTAGCATCAGTTTGGAGCCCAAGAGCTCAGACCCTGCATTCATCCCTCTGATCTGTGGTTCTATGCAACTTTCAGCCACCAGCAACCTCAGTTGCCACAGGAAACAATAACAGCAGGAGATGTTCATGAAACTTTGTGGAAATTTCAGATCTCCAATCCAGTGAGTTATCACTGTTTTGTTTTTGTTTTTGGGTCACACCTGGTGGTGTTCAGGATGTAACTCCTGGCATTTTGCTCAGGGATCACTCTGTGAGGCTTGGGGGACCATATGAGCTGCTGGGGATCAAACCCGGGTCAGTGATATGCAAGGCAAGTGCCCTAATAGCTGTCCTATCTCTGCAGCCCTGAATACCCACTGTATTCACTATTATTAGGTGCTACTACTATAGGTGATAATGATAGGCATTGTTATCATCATCATCATCATCATCATCATCATCATCATCATCATCGCTTTCTTGCTCAGCATAGGTTTTTGGGCACCTTCAATCCTCTTCCATTTCCTGAGATATTGGAATGAAGTAAGGTTTGCAACACTTTCCTGACTGTGACAAGCCGTCTGTTCCAGAAAACTGCACTGAATGCTTTGTGGCATTGCTTCTGAAGGAAAACTTCCTCCTGTCCTCGTGGAAGCCTTCTTCTGGGTCATTCCTCCCAGTACTCTTCCTTACCCATAGTGACCTCTGTCTCCCTGTGGACCTGTCCTTTCCTTCCCCCTTTGGATGCCTTGGACTTCTGTGCCTTGGTTCTCTTCTTTCTCTTGGCTTTGTCCATCGAGTCCATTCCCTAAGGGTGAGAAATTAAGGAAAGGCATCACTATACAGAGACCATGGTGCATGCACAGAACAAGAAAGAAACCATCAAAGCCATATTGTTTTTGTTTTGTTTTGGGGCCATACCAGGTGGTGCTCAGGGCTTACTACTGGCTCTGCACCCATTCCTGGCAGACTCAGAGACCATATGGGGTGCAGGGAATCAAGCCCAGGTGACTGCACGCAAGGCAAGTGCTGTACCTGATGTACTATCACTCCAGTCCCCAAAGTCAGATTATGTTGAACAAGATGACAGATGGTTAAAATGGAATTCAAGTGGATACCAGATGCCATGAAAGACAGCCTTATTGTTTTGTTTTTGTATTGCTCCAGGCTGTGCATAAAGGTTACTCCTTGCTCAGCACTTGTGGGTCATTCCCTGTGGTGATCAGGAAACCATATGGCGCTGGGGACAGAACCTGTGGGTTCCTGTGTGCAAAGCCTATGCTCCAGCTTACTGAGCTACGTCCCTGGCACAGAGGACTGAGTTTTAAAGCAAATAAAACTGGTGATCCCAATGCTTAGCTTTTAATTTAAAACAGCTAGATATGATTCCATTAGACAAAAGAAGAACAGCATACACTTTATGATTTTCCTCCTTCTTGGGGGGATGGTAAATCATGTTCTACAGAGGTGGACCAAAGCCAGATAGTGATCACTTCTGTTAGTTTTGTTAGATCAATGGTTGTTGCCATAATAAACAATTGAAATCAATGCCACCTTTATTCCCTGTCACATCATTTGCTAACTTTCAGGAAACCTGCAAAGCTGATGACTGTCATGTCAGTCTTCACTTTTCTCCACATGCAGGGACAACATCAGGACTCCTCCTAAGACAGGATGGTAGAGGGTGGCTAGAGCAATAATACAGCAGGTAGTGTTTGCCTTGCACAACGTTGACTTGTATTCAATTCCTGGCATCCCATATGGTCCTCTGAGCTCACCAGGAGTGAGTGCAGAGCCAGGAGTAAGCTCTGAGTACCATTCAGTGTAGTCAAAACACAAAAAGAACAAACCAAACAAAACAAAAAGACAGGATAACAGAGCTGGGTCACAGCTATCCACTCAGTGAAATTGCTACACAATAAGAAATATGGATTTTGTCTCTATACCCACCTCCTTGCATAGAGATCCTAAAACCTTCATCAATTCTGGAGCATGAAAATCAAAGGACTGTCTTTATTATGGTTTTGGAAACCCCCAAAGAAGAGGGGAGTTGATTGACAGATGAGCCAACCATGTGATTAGAGGGTTGGGACTTTGAACTGCACTCAAACACTGACCTCCGTGGAGGGGAGAGGGCTTGGAATGAATTGCTCCTGGCCAATGATTGGATCGATCATGCCTGCCTGAAACAACGTCACCTCCAAAAGGACATTCGTGAAGCAGTTCAGAGTCCGCCTTGGTTAGTGACCGTCTCTTGTGGTGGGAGGAGCCACCCCTAAACGCCACAGGGACAGACGCTTCTGTGCCTGGGACCAATCTGGACCTTGCCTGATGTATCTCCTCTTGGGCCTGCTGATTGAACCTTCTAGTAGCTACTGTAATAAATCAGTAGCAAGCAGTAGTCTTTTACTTGAGTTTGGTGAGTCAGTCTTGCCAATTTCTGAACTGAAGAAGGGAGTCCCTGTTGGTTAGAGAGGCACAGGTGGCAGCTGGGACTGGCGATAGGTTTCTGATGTGGGGGTAGCCATAGGTGGCCAAGCCCTTGACCTGGTGGAGACGCTGTGCTAACTCCAATAGAGAGCATTAGGATGGAATTATAGGAAATCTAATGGGAGTCCAGAGAATAGGAGGATGGGGGACATGGGAAAACCTCCACATAGGTGAACGCTGTTGTGAGTGCACAAGGCAGCAGTGGTTGGCTGTTGGCACTTTAGTAGAGATTAGAGATGCGAGCCCTATCCTTTAGAAGGATGCTGCCCAATTGGGGACTGGGTCTAGGCTAGAGGAAGCAGACCACAGGCTGGATTTCTGCTCCATCTGCCCCTGTGATATGTGCGTGCCCTTGTCTAGCAGTCCACATGACTGTCTGTGCCAATTGGGTAGAAGCACGATCCAGCCAGGGCTCTTGGACCAAATCATGGGGTTTTACACTTATTTGACCCACCTTGGCGGGCAGGTGCTGGTTGAGCAGCCTTGGCTGACTCATCTCTTCTTTTTCTCTTGGAAGGAGAGATGCATCTGCCGAACCCAACCTCTGTGGGGACTCAGGTCCATGTCCTGGTAGTCCTCTGTGGAGATGGTGTGTAGCATAGTCTCTGCCCCTTCAAAAAGAGTAAAGCCACAGGAACAAAGTAAAGGAAGCTCGGGCATGGGTGAAGGAAAATAAACACACACCCAGTGCATACTGTCCCCAACCAGGTGCTATAATGGACATTTTGGACACCTGCTCAAGCCCCTTTTTCTCAGCACATCTCTGAATAAGGGAGAGTAGAAGGACTGGTCTTCACTCAAGGTGAAGTTCCTAAAACTTCTGGAATAAGATAATGGGGTGTTTATTTTGTTTTATCCTTTTAACCCTGTTTTAAGCAGAATAAATGGTTATATAAATGATTATTATTTATAATCAATTAGCATCAAAATATTTAACTTTTTTTATTTGGTTTTGGGGTCACACCTGGCAGTACTCAAGGTTTATTCCTGGCTCTGCACACAGGGATCACTCCTGGTAGACTCAGAAGACCACTGGGGTGCTGGGGATCAAACCCAGGTTGCCTATTTGAAAGGCAAATTCCCTACCCACTATACTATCACTCCAGTTCATTAACTGAAATTTCTTCTATTAAAGGTTTAGCTGTGAAGAAAAGAGAATTTTGAATAAAAGTCTGTCATAGGAACACACAACTGTCTATTTATTCCTTACAGACTCTGAGTTCTCTTCTTCTATCCAACTCCGTCATCTCAGTCATGTGCTGTGGTATTCAGATCCCTTAAAGAGTGGCTGTCGCAGGCAATGAGCCTTGGGGATAAGTGACTTATATTCTCTGGGACGAAGGGTCAGTGAGAAACAGTCACATGAATTTTAATTTATGTAGCAGTCACAGCTGCTGTGTGCTAGGCCCAGTTCTGGGAACTTAGGTTTTAGTTAAATCAGTATTATATTTATTGTGCTGTTCTAGCATAGGGTCTTACTATAGAAACTTGATAAATAGATTTTCCTGTAAATATATGGATCTTCAATCATTCTTCCCTTCAAATCATCCCTTTTTAAAAAAAACTATAGAAGAGAGCCAGATAGATAGTATAGCGGGTACGGCGCTTGACTGACTCAGGTTTGACCCCTGCATCCGTTATGGTCCTTGAGCCCTGTGAAGAGTGATCCCTGAGTGCAGAGCCAGGAGTAAGCCTTGAGCACCACCGAGTCTGATCCCAAAACAAAAAACAAAAAAACAAAAACAGATTGTATTCATCTGGGGAATACGAAGTAGCAAAATAGGACACTAACACCCACGAATAGCCAAGATAAGTACCAGGAGGTTCACTCCATGGCTTGGACTCCAGCTGTACATGCTAGGGGAAAAGGCAGCTCAGATAGAGAAGGGAGCACCAAATAAAGGGTGTTGGGAGGATCCTCCCAGTATGAGAGATGCATGCTGAAAGTAGACTATAGACCGAACATGATTGCCACTCAATGCCTCTTTTGCAAACCACAGCACCCAAAAGGAGAGAGAAAACAAAAGGGAATGCCCTGTCACAGGGGTGGGGTGGGAGGGATACTGGGAGCACTGGAGGTGGAGAATGGGCACTAGTGGAGGGATGGGTACTCAATCATTGCATAACTGAAACCCAAGCACAAAAAAATTGTAAGTCTACAACTGTATCTCATGGTGTTTCACTAATAAAAAAATAAAATAAAAACACAAACGAACAAAACAAAACAAAACAAAACAAAAAACAAATTAAATAAAACCCCACACAACAAAATCCATAGAAGCAACCGAGGAGAAATACAAGCATACCTTATTGTGTTGCTCTTTTTATTTTGCACTTTTCACATTGGGGATCTATCAAATCTGAGAGTTCTAATCTTACTTAAAATGATTGTAATGACCTTTGTGGGGCATTGGTTCCCTCACCCTCTTTTTTCTTCTTCATTAGGAAAAAAGTTGGTTTTTATTAATTGTGTGTGGGTGTGTGTGGTAGGGAGGAGGTTGTTGTAAGCAGTTTAAATCTCTTGTAGAGAAAGACGGAGTATAAAAATTTCTCTTAATCACAGTTCGCCTCAGCCTATCCCTGCATTTTTAGGGAACACAAAAGCTGCTTCCTCAGGGGGAAGATTCCTTATTCCAGGAGGCCAGGGAGGCAGCTTCTCAGATCACAGAGGTGCAGGGAGGCTGCAGTAGGCTTCAGCGCCACACGGAGGCAGACTCCACTTGGAATGGTCTCAAGGGCTGTGTGTTCCTGCCCAGCAACAGCGAGTGACGCTGAGTGAGCAGAGCGAGCCCCGAAACACATGGCAGCAATTAGTGTTAGTCTGATTACAATCCTTCCTTTGCTCAGAGCAGAGGATGTGCTGTGAAATGCTGACGTCTGTGGAACCATTTTTTAAATGGGGCCTCTCAGTCATTACAAAAAAATTGTGTCACCTGTCTCATTTAAATGAGGTCAAAGATCTCATATATAGAGCCAACATAATTCTTTTCCCCAATGTGTGTTGCTTTGGAATAGAACCCAGGGCCTCTCACTTGTGAGGTGTTATCCACTACAAAAGGAATTGTTTTAAGACTCTATGAAAAATTCAAGAATTTATCTAATGGGTCAGGAAAAGGAATGATTATGGACTTTCTCCCTCCCCCCCAAAGAACAGATGAGGTAACCAATATTTTGTCAGAAATAGCATAAATTTGTTAAACTCGTCAACTCTTATTTTTTTTTAACTTGAAATAAAACTTCTGTAACATTATGTAGGATTAGGATTTAGTTGCATAGACTTTATTTTATTTATTTATTTATTTATTTATTTTGCTTTTTGGGTCACACCCGGCGTTGCACAGGGGTCACTCCTGGCTCTGCACTCAGGAATTATCTCTGGCGGTGCTCAGGGGACCATATGAAATGCTGGGAATCGAACCTGGGTCGGCTGCGTGCAAGGCAAACGCCCTACCTGCTGTGCTATCACTGCAGCCCCAGTTGCATAGCCTTTAATAAACCAAAATCTGTATAAACTATCATCCCCCCCAAACTAGTTTTATTGAAAGAAATATTCTTAGAGAAATGAGAATGGAGAGAAGGGGAGAAGATATACACGTGTTCAAGAAAGACCACAGGCATTCCAGAGTGGAAAAAGATTGTATGTTCCATTTTATGTTTGCTACAAAATTCCAGTCTCCGTTCACCTTTTCTTTTAACTTCTTAGTTCTTCATATTTTAATCTTATTAAAAATATATCCTGATTTTGTCCCTCCTATGAGTGGGGGCACATTTTAGATTTCAGCCCAAATGCGTGTGCCCCAAATTGCAATTCTCATATGCTAAATAAATGTGCTCTGCCTTTTAGCTTTTGGGTTGGCAAAACTTAATGAAGAAACCAAGGTTGAGCGTGTAGACCATCTTTAGGGATGCTTGGGGATCTCAGAGATGCCGAAAAAATGTAGGAGATTGTTTCCACACCCCACATTTCATTTTTCACCCGCGCAGCCCCAAATGATGACTCAGCAGGAAGCACACTATGAGGATTCTCCTCAAGAATCTCTTTCACACACCAGTTTAATTCCATCTGTCAGGGCATGCTTTCAACTGAGGCTCTTCCTGCCTCTTAGAAAAAAACAAAACAAAACAAAACAAAAGAAAACATGGAAATAGATGGAAAATGAAGACAGAATAAACAGAGAGAGAGAGGTCCAGGTCTTTCCAGCTTGGAACACTTACTTGGTTTGGACAGTGTCTGCCTCTGGGGTTTGTGTGTGCTCAATGCGGGGAGCCGTGAGAGGCGCCAGGGCCTTTCTCCTTGAGTCTGGGCCTATGAAGAGAAAACTCCCTTAGTCAGCAGAAGTCAGTAGACCCTGATCCCAGATGTGGGAAAACATCAATGGCATACACATACCGAGTATGGAACACCCAGCAAATGTTGCCCAAGCCAGTGCAGGTGCAAGGCAAGTGACTGCAAATGCTTTTTGCTTTTGGGGCCCAGGATGTGGTTCAAATGGTAGAGAACAGGCCTCTGTGTTAGTGGCCTTGACCAGTGCATAGCATGCCCCCTGAGTACCTCATGGCTCTTCTCCTAGCACCATAGTGTGTGGTTATGACCCCTAAGCACACTGGGGACCTCATAAAAACATGAAAAAAAAGTCCCTTTTGGGGCTTAAGAGATAGTACAGGGGTTAATGTAACTGACATGTTAGGGCTGATCCTGTTTGATCCTCAGCACTACAGGACCTGGTCCTCAGGTCCAGTCTGGAACCTCCCAGTACTGTGGGGGTGGCCTGGGGGAATCCTGCCATCATTGCAGGGTCCCCACAGCATCACATCCTTGAGTCCTTGCATTGTATCACTGGCAGAGAGTGGCTTGAAGTGACCGCCCTGCCCCTCAACCCCCGCCAAATTCCTTTTGGGAAATGATATATGTATATTCTAGTCTTTGACCAGGAATCTCACTCTTGGGGGTTTATCATATGGAAGCAATTCAAAAGGAGAAATAAGCTTTTTGTACCAACTTAGTTTTACAATATTATTAGTAATAATAAACAAACAGAACAGCTCAGCAACCATGGGGGATTGAGAAGTAATTTGTGATGAATTCATTTTATATTTTAAAAATGACGGTTAAAATAAATAATATGGGAAGTTGAATAGATAGAAAATGTTCAGGCATTTGATCTCTTGCATGCAGCTGACCCCAGTTCAATTCCTGGTACCACATATCACCCCGTAAGCCAGGGGTGATCCTGAGCATCACCAGATGTGGTCCAAAATCCTCCTGGCCCTTTGGGGCTGGAGTGATAGCATAGCGGGTAGGGCATTTGCCTTGCATGTGACCGACCTGGGTTTGATTCCCAGCATCCCATATGGTCCTCCGAGCACCGCTGGCAGTAATTCTTGAGTGCATGAGCCAGGAGTAACCCCTGTGCATCGCTGGATGTGACCCCCCCCAAACCCCCCTGGCCCCAAATAATGAAAACTATGATATAATGATAGGAAGAATGTAAATTATAGCATTACATTAGAATGCGAAAATATTTCTGTAGAGGAATAGGTAAAAAGGGTAAAGGCCCTCCCGTTGATTGTCGATTTGCTTGAGCGGGCCCAGTAACGTCTCCATTGGAGACTTTGTTGTTACTGTGTCTGGCATATCGAATACTCTCAGTAGCTTGCTGGGCTCTCCGAGAGGGGCGGAGGAATCGAACTCGGGTCGGCCATGTTGGCCGCTTGTAAGGCGAACGCCCTACCCGCTGTGCTATCGCTCCAGCCCTAGAGGAATAGGACTAAAGGAAAAAATAAAAAGGAAATATTATGTTAGATCAGAAACATCTTATGTATTTTTTCCCTCCATAAAACATCAGTATGGTTTTAATATTAAAAAGGAAAGTAATTAAAACAGGAAATGTTATCCTATGAGGAAGGTTCAGCAGAACCCCCAGCATGGCTGGGTGCTCTGAAGATCAGATTAGGACACTCTGAGAATGAGAAAGAGTCCCCTGACTGCATTTAAACAGGGCATCCTTTCATTTTAGTTAATTTAATTTAAAAGTCATGGATAATATATTTAATTGCAGGAAAATTGGCAAGAGCAAACATAAAGAAGAAAAAACCTTTAGTCAATTCATAAGTATTAGAATGACCAAGTAGACTAACTATACTGAGATCGACAAGAATACGGAGGGTGTGGGACCCCCGTGACTGCAGGTTGGAATGTAAAAGGCCAGTCACAGGACATTTGTGTGGCAGTTTCTGAAACAGCTAAATTAGATACAGCATAAAATCCCGCTGTTATCACTCAGGTATTTCAGTCAGGAGAAATGAAAGGCTGTGTCTAGAGGATTTAGACACAAGTGCACACAAGTGTATGGAGTGAATAAAACCAGACAGAAGAAAAGGGAGGGGGTGCAACTGGTGTAACTCTATAGGAAGTTCTGAAAATTCACACATATAATGCGAGTGTGCAAGTAAGTGGTGGTCTGGGATGAGGGAGGTTGCACTAAGGGAATGAGGAAGAAATGTTTGTGAAAGATGGAGGTATTCTCTTGATCTTGAGTGAGGCAATGAGTTTATGGATATAATCCTTTATTGTTTTACTATAAAGATGCCCTCATATTTTGTTTATGTGGGGGTTTGAGCCACACTCAGCGTTGTTCAGTGCTTACTCCTGATTCTGTGCTCCAGGATCACTCCCGAGGATCATGGAACTACATAGGTGCTGGGGATCGAGTTGGATCAGCTGCATGCAAAGCAATACAGCCTCTGTACTCTTACTTCGGTCCTATACTCAAATTTGAAGAGATATACAAAATCCTGTATTTTGTGTATCTGTATTTTTATTTTGTATACCTGTATTTTGTAAATTTCTGGATGCTCGACCCGAGCCTCACGCAGGATTGAAGTCCCATGAAACCCAGGTAATGTGGAACTTTGTGACCTTGGACTCTGGACTCAACTGGATGGTAGCAGAGATACTCTACCTGCTTCCCCCAGTCTCCAGTGACCCAGGGGTCAAATCCATGAGCCACAACCTGCCGGCACCAGATAATCTCCTCATCAAACATCCTCCAGAACTGATGTCTGCTCCTCCCAGATGGGAGTATAAAACAAGGCCTACATAAACATGCCACCAGACTCTGCACCAGGCTGTTCTCACTCGAGGCGCCCCAGAGGGGGGCGGGCGAGAGCCCTCCCCGCCCCAAGGGACTCAGACCTGACAGCCGACCTCTAGTACCCAACCGCCACCACGTTCTAGGCCACTTTCCAGACACACCATAAGACACTTTCTACCCATTTTCCATAATTACCACACCATGTTTGATGGAGTTCAGACAGTAGGCAACAAATCATAGAGAGAAATATATGTATGTATGCCTCTCAGAGAGCCCGGCAAACTACCAAGAGTATCCTGCTCATATGGGCAGAGCCTGGCAAGCTCCTCGTCGCGTATTTGATATGCCCAAACCAGTAACAGGTCTCATTCCCCTGACCCTGAAAGAGCCTCCAATCATTGGGAAAGAAGAGTAAGGAGAGGCTGCTAAAATCTCAAGCTGGGACGAATAGAGAGGTTACTGGTGCCCGCTTGAGTAAATCGATGAACAATGGGATGAGGGTGATATAGTGATACAGTGGTACAAAATCCTGTAACGTAGGTATAATTTTACTCCACTTGTTTTTTAATTAAAAATGTTTTTTGTTTTCTATATCCAGCAGTGCTCAGGGTTTACTTCTAGCTCTGTCCTCAGGGATCAATCCTAGCAGTCCCAGGGACCCTATGGGATGCAGGGGATGGAACCCTGGTCAGTCACATGCAAGGCAAGTGCTCTGCCTACTGTACAATCTCCTTGGCCCAAAATCTTACTTTAATTTTATATTATTAAAATATCCCATATCATAAAATATTCTTTAAATGACTTTTAGGGTATAGGATAAAATCCAGGGTATCACACATATCAGACATATATTATATCTCTCAACCATGTGCCTGGCAACAAAGATTCATGGAACAAGCACACACACACACACACACACACTTTAATAGAAACATAGCATAGCATTTCATTAAATGTATGTTCTACAGTTGACTAACAGAACATCTAAACATTAAGTTCACATAGCTTCAAATATTTTGTCACTGCAAGGAACTTTACATAGCATATACTTGAAAGAAATGTTCGCTGCTGTTGTTGAAAGAAATGTTTGTTGTTGTTTAAAGCAGTGCTGAGGATTAAACCCAGAGGCCTCACACATGTGAGGCATGTGCTCTGCCACTGAGTCACATCGCTGGCCCCAAGGAATGTTTTTGGTTATAAGAATTACTCTTTGTCCACATTTCTGATTACTGAAAGATGTAAACTTTTTCTGCGGTGAGCGTGGGTGGGGGTGTGGTGTTGGGAAGGCTTGGGACTCACCTGCTGGTGCTCAGGCTGTTTTTGGCTCCGTGCTCTGGACCACGTGTAGTGATGCAGATTTGAACCGAGGTTTGCTGTCCGCAAGGCAAAAGCCAATACCAGAGGTACTCTCTGGACCCTATTTTTTTCTCTAGGAATTTTGTGCTACTTGCATTTTGATAAATTTGTTATTAATGCCTTTAAATGTCAGATGATTATTAAATCTGTACTACACGCTGGGTGTTAGATGTGAGCAGTAGAGAGGTGAAGAGCTTGGATACACTCCAGTCTTAGGAAGCTTAAATCAAATTAAATGACATCATGATAAATGTATAACATTAGCATATTGGGAGATGATTAAAGGTTAATTGAATGGGAATTCTGTGAGGGCAGATTCAGAAAAAGATATTGTCATTCATTACTTTTCCAAACCACTAGGAATTTGAAACAGGTCACTATAGGACCAGCAGAGGGCACAGTTGTACTGGCCAAAAACTGAGGTTCTGCCGAGCTTGTGTCCCTGTTAAAATGAAAATTTGTCATTCTAGGATGTGGATCCACATAGATCATAGAGTTTTCTCTAGTAAAATATCCTGACATCTAGGAAGCATGGGAGTAAACAAAGGGAGTACGTTGGACAATACTTAACTTAACTTAACTTAACTTCCCGTTAGTCGTCGATTTGCTCGAGCGGGCGCCAGTAACGTCTCCATTTGTCCCTGTCGCGTGCTAGTGTAGCCCAATGGCATCTCTTCGCTCCGGGAACATGGAGGGCCTCAAACCGATCGTTCATGACCTTGACAAAGAAGTCTGACCATCTGGTAGGTGGGCGGCCACGCGGTCTCTTGACATCCCGTGGAATCCAATCAGTAACAGCTCTAGTCCAACGGTCGTCTTTAAATCTCATTACGTGACCAGCCCATCTGATTTTCGA